TTGTTAATCAGAGATGGATAGGAACAGCTCAAAAAGAGGAATAAAAAAATGGACACATCGACGTGACAGACGCTAAAAGAAAATTGGTTGTCCTCAAAAGCTCGTGAGAGCCGCCGAAAATGCAAAACACGTCGATTGGATCATAAATCTTGCGCATTCGATTCTACATCACAGGGAAGACACGGGGATCTCCCTCCTGAATTTGCAGCACGCTAGAAGTTCAACTTAATCCGTCACGTGCATTAGACGGTATAATCCATCAAGTAGCGACTTGCAGGTAACCGTGAAAACGAAAATGGGGCTTGTAATGCAATTACATGGCGCCCGTGTTCTACCATCGTCCTTGTCCCTCCATTTCCGGCCCTCCATTTTAGGCGATGCTGGAGGAAGGACCCTCAAGTAAAAGCGAATCAGCCTATTGTTTGGATTATGTCTTGCTGTTTTTTCTCCAAATTCGAGCGTGTATTCTTTAGGGAAGATCATCGAACTTTTCAAATTTGTAGAATTATTACACTTCACACATTGTACATTATTCATTTGTCGAGTCCCATTGTATTAATTATCATTCAATTGTAAGAAAGAAAGAGAGAGGTTTCATTGAACATTATGAAAGAAAAAGATAGTGAGTTATGCAATTTGTATAGTTTAGGATAATTAAGATCAATGTCACAAACTAAACAATTAAAGAAAGATAATGATGTTATGCATATTAACTTTGTAACTGCATCTTAAAATTTATTATTATCATCTCTTTACAAATACTGAGTAGTGGAAGTTGAAACTATGCCTGAGTAAAGAGAAAAATGAGTTTATTCAACTATCTTTTTCTTTAAATAAAAAAAAAAAAATCACTTACTTGGACTCTAGCTTCCGTCAGGTCGATTTTCATGGCGATTTCTTCTCTAGTGTATATATCCGGATAGTGAGTCTCCTGGAAGGCACGCTCCAATTCTTTAAGCTGAGCTGATGTGAACGTTGTTCGTATCCGACGTTGTTTTCTCTTCTCCGCTAAACCGTCGTGTCCTGAGTAAGCCTTATATCCTAGTCCACCTAAAAAGTAAAAGAAGAAAGAAGATTGTAGAAATTAGGAATCAACGAAAACCACAAGAATTAAATTCAACATTTTTCAATTCTAATTGCGGACAACATGGTTAGAAAATCTTGCAACCAAATTCACAATTCATAACTTTAATTGCAGACAACGCAATTACAAAATCGTCAATTTCAATCTATCTTTTTTTAGACTTCTCACAAAACCCTACAATCAAATCCATAGTTCATAGAATCCAAAGAAGATAAGAAACTTTCACTCAACGTCAACTCTTTCTAAATCAACTTATCTCAACTTTCTCCTAATCAGTAGTCAAAGACAGAATTTCCACAGGCTACCTGTCATATCAGTCACACATTGGCAAGACTGATAAGACACGAAGAAAATCAGTGGTGGTCGAATTACCTGGTCCAAGGAGCAACGTTTGCACGAGAACTCCGTGTCTCTGTGCAGGTAGCAGCTTATAGATTATAGAATATAGGTGAGGATGGCTGGGATAGCGAGCAACGTAACCATAGCAATGAGTGACTGAAGGGGGAGAGGGCGAGAAAGAGTAAGCCAGGGGTAAAGGAAACGTGGGATGAGACAGTGCAGAGTCGGGTACAAGAGGAACGAGCTGGTAAATGAGGGAGAGACGAAGAAAGAGTGAGAAAGAGAGACAAGTATACGAAAGAGGAAGAAAGAGAGAGAGAGAGAGAGAGAGAGAGAGAGAAAGAGAAAGAGCAGACGAGACACATCCATTGATTTTCAGTGCCATCTTGTCGTCGTTTCCAGAGGAAATACCACGGTGGTAGGACCGAGCATGGAGACCATCCCATGGCGATTTTCCCCTGAGAAAAGAAGGGCTCTCCTCTCTTTCTTTCTGCTGGAAAGACTGTCTTCTTCGCCCCGCCCAAGCATGGTGGTCTTCTTACACCTCTAATTGATTGTCCATTTGTAAATTTTATCGTTTCAATGGTGTACTGTGTTTGATTTGTTCGCTGGTCCTCGAGGAGTGCGAGTTTGCTGGATCGAAGAGGGAATTTCATTAAATTCCATTACAATTAGACAGATTCCTTTCCTTTGGAATCTTCTGATTTTGTTCATTCTTGTCCACTGACCTCTCATTGATTAGCCATTTGTAAATTCCATTCAATGATGGATATTACAATTAAAATTCATTATATTTTAATAATATTTAATTTGTTCACTGGTGCTCGAAGAAGGCGAATATGCTTGATCGAAGAGGGAATTTCATCAAATTCCATTACAGTTAGACAGTTCCTTTTTCTATGGAATCCTTTGACTTTTGTCTCATTGTATATTTATTGAAACTTGGACAATTGTAGAGATAAGCAGAAAAATATTGCAGTAACACGAATTATGCAAGAAAGTGAAGAAAATCTTAATTTTTGAGTGGAGATTTTAAGTTTTTATTCTCTCACTAAAGAGATCAGATAAGAGATTTATGAAGTTTTACTATATTTTTGAAACAGTGAAAGGCTATCTATGGGGTAAACAAATTATCTATAAACAATGAATTTGGTAGATCTGGTCTGGAATGGAATATGGAAGACAGATAGTAACCCCAAAAAAAAAATTTTAATTGAAAAATATAGCATACTGCAGACGTATGAATTTATAGTATAGTATTTACAAAATAGAAGCAAATTTTCCTTTTGGACGAAAATCCACAAATAGATATTCTCCAATATTTATTTTCTTATCATAAAAATCAAATATCACATATTTTTAAATACTCTGCAAATTTCATAAATTAAATAAACAAAACAAAAACTATTAAAATCCCAAATAATGAGTATAATTAAAACAAAAAAAAAACTGAATTAATATTATTATATAAACTAGATTAATAGAAAAAAGCAAAATAGAAAGAAAATACATTTTTTATTCAGAAAAGAGTCATCACAATCCATTCCCCTCTTCCCAAAGGAGCACGCAAGGAAGGATACTCACTCTGCAGATTAATGGCCGACGGGAAGATCGAGGCGGCGTGCCGGTGGACCTCTTGAGATCTGGCGGCCATTACCGAGCAGGGAGTTGCGTGGGCCCCGTGGTGCGCGTGGGCATGAGAGTGGGTGGTGTGATGGGCCCCCAGCGGCGTGGTGCTACCAGTACTGGTAGTTCCCGCATTGCCTGGATAGCCAGCAGCCCTCGCGGCCGTGTACCGGTAAGCAGCCTGACTCATTTGTGAACAAGAACTCAAGTCCCCGTATCCACATTGCATTTCACTGGCGGCCAGAGCACAGCTAGATGCCTCGAAACCAGCGGCCGCAGCGGCAGCCGCCTGATTCAAGTATGAATAATCCATCGTTCACTCGGAGCACTGAAATTGGGGGTGAAAAGTGCAGAGTTCCTTTGTCACAGGCGTGTCTGACTTCGTCAGAGGCGAATAGACGAGGTCACTGAGCGCGGAGCACCTGTGACAGTTCATCGAAACTTTTATCTCTTCTCCATCTTGACTCTTCGCTCGATCAGAATCCCATAAATCGAATCCTTCTTGATTGTCGGTAGATCTTGGATGTAGATCCAAGTAGTACCAAGTCGTTGGTAGATTTGATTCACGTTCTTAAGTTGATTGGACGACCCGACGATTCCTCCGAATACTGGAATATACTGAGATACGATGAATCTGATACGCAGATCGAATTGAAAAGAAGATGAGAGGAGTGTTCGTGAGAATAGAAGCTGAGGGCCCCGGCCGGGCCCTAGCCGCGGCGTTGGCGTTGCTTCCGGCCCTAGCAGCGGCGTGCTTCTTCGTCGTCGGAAATCTCGGCTAATCGGAAGCCAGGATGTAGAAGCAGCGGTGGCAGCGTCACGTAATTCTCTCTGGTCGCGGACAAGAGCTAAGGGACGCGGGCGGCAGCCGGTTGCTCGATAGCGGCTTATGACGCGTAATCGGATCAGCGATATCAAATTATTGCGATTATAGCCGCGGATAGAAAGAAGTTTTTCGGCCCGCTTAAGAGAGCCCGAGACGACCGACTGGTGGGTCTCCTCAAAATCAAATGATAAGCTTAATTCAATAACCGACGGAGAGGGTGCACGCCGGGGGTGTGGCCGTCGGTCGGTTACGGTGAAACGGGTTTGGTCACTGTCTAACGTTCTCTGAACGCTGATTCGTCGATCCCAGTTGCCACCCCCGGGCTGGATGAGAGAACAGTTGCCGCCCTCTGAGCTTCTGTGTTCATCCCCGTACGTGTGCCACCCCCAGGTTCGTCGGGCGACCTCTCCCTAACAACCATCAGCCCGAATGAACGCTATCATTTGATGATGCCAGCCCTCTCTCCTGGTCTCGATTTTACGATCGATTCCGGAACAGGCCGTTTCCGCTGGACAGAGCCAGAGCCACGCTTTTCTTCCAGTCGCCGTACGTATGTTTACGCCTAACTCCTTCTGCGGCTATCTTCGTACAATGTGTGTTTCGCTTCCTGGATGATAATGCTGATACTGACAGAGTATCTCTCTGAGGTGAATCGAAAATGATGGATTGCCGCGGTGAAGGTTGAGTGGACTGTAAATTTAAAGCATTTCTTCATTGGAACTACTGATTTTTAGAGATTTCTTTGAATTTGGTTTTAGATAAATTCTCTTAGATAGAATTTATACATGATATTTCCTCATAAAAATATGTAGAAATTGAAAAGAAAGTACACGTGTACACAACAATTTTGTTTGTAATTAAATTTTCGTTTGACATACCATGAGTCTGTGATTGTACAAAAATTCTTAATCTAGCAAATGATTATTAAACGATAGTACAATGACATCATGACCGATGAATTCGCAATAACATTCTCGTGAAATTGTCATGTTTTTATATCTCCTAACCGTTTATACATGACAGTAGAAACATGAAATATCGTGCAAATAAAGGCCAAGGGAGTAGAGAGCATGAAATATGATTTATCTGCAGATAGAGAAATTACATGACTAAACATGACACGGGAACGACCTTAGATAGGTGGTAGGAACCTGTGCGACACTTGTTTCACACTTGTTCTCACGAAAGGGCCACGATGAGAGCAGTCCTGGTGCGCGACCCTCTTCCCCGTGTCTCGTCCCGGGGGAATTCTCTTCCAGGGTACGCGAATGTAGTATGCTGTGCAACACCAAATCGTCCATAGTGTGTATACTGAGAATACACAGGAACGGACGCAACCATTGGCGTACAATTCCCCATAACTCGTCCATACCACTGCAATAGGAAACGTAAGATTATAACATCACGATTAAAATTGATATTTATAAAAAATTATACAAGAAATTGTATGTCACCGCAAAAGATATATACAGGGGTTATAAAATTCTTCTGTTGCTATTACGTTGCAAAGGTTAAACATTATCTTCTTAAATAATTATTGAGAAAAAAAGTAGCCAAAAATTTCTACTATGACATTTAAATATTAAATTGTTTAGAAACTATACAAATAAATTTTATAGGTTATGTAATAAAAACTATCCCATTTGTAATGTTCAGGTTTAACAAGTGCAAATAAGTTATGATCTATATAAATTTAATATAAATAGAAAGAAATTAATGAATTGATCTATCTGTGAGAAAGTATCATTGACTAAGAGAACCAGTTTAGTGTCTACGTCAATGGGAACACAGCAAACATGCGTGCGCGCGTAAACACCCGCACACTCGCATAAACGTTTCGTCTTTTATATCAATAGAATGAGAGAACGTCAACCCCCCTTAGTGGTCTGATACATATGTCCTTGATTTGTCGGGAGAATAATATTCTCCTAGAAAGTTGATTAAATATTGGTTAGTGATCTCAGATGTCCTTTACCCCTCTACGCTTCCATTCCATCGACTCGAAAACCCATAGGAATACAATTTAATATTTTTCACGTCCCAAAGATAGCCGACTATTTTTCTTCCGATTTACACGCAGTTCTATCACTATCACTTTGTATTTTCGCGAATGAAACTGTTTTATGTACATATATTTATTCTTATATATTCTTATGTCTCGAAAAATATTCAGCAAGAAGCAATCAAATTCGTTTTAAACTTTGCCAATATCATCACGATAGTCGAATCTCATTACACAATGAAATTTCAAAATGTGTTATACAATGCATATAATACATATATTCATAAAAGGTTTCTATCGAATACTTTGTAAGCTACTATACAATCATATTATTATAATTTAAATGTAATTATCGCGAAATGTGCCGGTAATTCCGGTATAATGAAGAATAAAATATATTCATGTGATAATATACGTTAGCCTACTGTAAAACGTTACCGCGATCTGATTAAAATGGCGCATGATTATATATTTCTCATCCACTTTTATACAATGTTATTGCAAGCTAATCCTGTTTATCACACGTTACATTTACAATTATCTTCTGCATGGTGATGCGTTAATTTAATCTTCACAAAAATTAAATTAAAAAATCCAAATACAAACATCTTTATATTCATAAAATAATTTCTATATTTTTCAAAATAATAATGCGTAACATATACCGAAATGTGAAAAACGAACAAACTCATTATAATAGAATGTATTACAATAAAATATAGAATACAACTTACCAAATTCATTTAATGGATAAAAATTTTCCTGTTGTCTGTACTTGATAAACATTATGTTAATAAAAAATAATATATTTTTGCAATTGTCGTGCAACGCAGTTGTAACTGCCACCGGAAGTACCAACTTGATACCAGTGCACTTTTTTTTTTGTTGAATTGTCAACAGGTGGCACGTCGAATGAAATAAAAAAAGAAATTTCAAAATTAATGTTATTAACAAATTTCATTCAAATTGTTTTATTTATATTTTAATGATTTATGGAATTTAATTTGTTGACATTAAATAAAAATTAAACTAAATTTAATTAATGCAATTAAAAAGTTTGATGAATAGGTAGCGCCATCACATCCGGCAAAACTTTTCTATTGAAAAGTGCGGGAAAAAGTACAAGAAGGAACAAGAGTTAACGGAGACAGAAAAATAGTTTCAAATTATGAGTTTATTGCGAAAATAGTGTGAATTATTCATAGAATTGTTGAGCTGACAGCATATCTAAATATGTAAAGTAAGTTTCGATATTTTTTCCTATTAAATATTGTTAAGAACGAAAATACGTGAGTTCAATGTTCTGATTTTGTAGAGAAGCGTTAAATAATATATAAACCTTAATAATTCGTAAGATATCGGAATATAATTTTAGGAAAATGAAAAAGGAAACCTTTAGAAAATCATAGCACTATAACTTTAATGGAAATTTTTATATTTTTGAGCAAGAATTAAACTAAGGTATAGTTAAACATTCAGATTTAATGTTTTGAAATTATACAAACAAAACGTCAGTATCAAATACATACTTGAGTAATTTGTAATAACAACGGAACATTTATATATTTGATTTGTATATAACATAACAAAGTTATCAAACTATTATTACTTATATACCTACGTTATTAATATCTTGTAACAAACAGTTTTATCAAAATAAAATATAGTTTAAATAAATTTCCAAAGACAGTTGTCACTTATCTGTATAAATCTTGCATTTCTATAAATATATATAATAAATCTGTAACAATAAAAAAAACATTAATTAAACAACAATAAATAATTATATATAAAATTATAAATAACAAATTACATACCTTATTGAAATATAAGAATAAAAACCTATGTTTGCATATGTATCAATTAATATGAATATTTTACTTTTGATAGAATATTGCTTGATTACAAGTATCATGTTCTGAAATAAAAAAAAATGAATATGATCGGAATTAGAAAAAAAGTATTTTGTTAGAAATTAGGAACTTTTTGTTAACAAAAATTAATTAATTTATTACCATAATTCGATCGACAATGAAGTTCCTCCCAGTTTGTTTCATTTTGAGTCGATTTTTTCACATTATTCATCTGTTGTAAATTAGTAATAATTGTGTCATTATCAATTTTTCTTATTTCCATAACGTTCTGTTTCGGAACATGAACTTCGCATACGTTCGAGGAATCTTTGACACATTCAACTTCTGATCGATGCAAGACTAGTTTCCTAGGGTGCGAGCATTCTTCAAAGGCAATATTTGAATGCGGCAAATTTTGTTGCTTGATATATACGACTTTGTTCTGTTCGCATCTTGGCACGAAAATAATTTTCTGCATTGACTCTTGAGAACATGATGCCATGTGATAATTAACATTCGGGTCAATTACTTTAATATTATCGACAGAAGCAACATTGCTGCTTTGCAAATATATAGGAACTTTTTGAGCTTTAGAATTATTTTCAACTGCCAGATACTTAATTGGCTGTTCTTCCACTACTACGGCATTTTTGATACATTGATTATCAGTAAATTTCATATGCAATTCTCGTTTTTTAATGGGTAAGATCTTCAAATTCTGAACACCTTTAAGAATATTAATACCAGTTGCATCACCTTGGTTGAATTCCTGGTTAGAATCCTGCAATCTTCTTGATTTTTCAGTTTGATGTATGATATCATGAGAACATTCTTGTAAATTATTCGAATCTTTGCACTGATCTACCATCACATAGCAAACGTGTTGATCATTGTAACATTTTTCATTATTTTCGCATTTAGGATGTTGATGGACCCTTTTTACTAACATCTTCTCACAAATCTGTGATTTCTGACGCTGTGGTATATTTATCTCTTTAAATTTTTGATTACTGTAATTTGAATTGTCAAAACTTTGCGAGTATTGGTATGTTTTATAATTTTCTGGTATTTCCAGATAATTCTTATGCGTCGTACAATTATTTTTCAATTTCTCACGTTGCGAAGAAACGTTCTTCCGTATAATACAGATGTTCGAATTATCAGTCGTTTCATCTGTAATTACATTATTTAAGTACAAACAGTGTCCTACATTTCGTGAATCTTTCTTTGTAAACATCACTGTCTTTTGTATTGAAGGATTTTTCTTGTTCACTAAAATGCCATTTACATGAAGATTTTGTGATTGAGTTTGATTCTGTTTTGATTGTGAAGAAGAATTTTTCACGAAATATATTTCATCGTTACGAAGACTTGGTGATTCCATTACACAAGTCTGAAGATTTTCCATATCTAATGTATCAAATAAAGTATTTACAGTCGTCGACCGTTGCAATCTCTGCGAATTTTCGTTCGATTCTGTTGTCAGAGATTGCGAAGTAAAAAGAACGTTCTGCCTCGAAGCGGCGTTGAACAGCATCTCCTGGGGCTCTTTATTAATATGCATCGACTCCTGGAATAAATTCAATTGGTTATTATTATTAGTCACAATGTTGTTACACCTTCGCAATATAATAGGTACATGCTTCAGATTCTTCATTTTAATCTGCTGTAGTATCTTTAAGTTTTGTTTCTCTGCGTCTTTTTCTAACCCATTACTTAAAACACGTACCGTTTGTGTTCGCCGACTTCTATATTTTTTATGACTATAACTATTCTCGAAATCTGCCTCAGTTTGAACAAATAAGACAGGTTTGCTTTTCTCCTTTATCCTCTCAAATTCGTTTGTTTCAAAATATTTAACAATATTATTGTTAGTACTGATGGAAGTTGCAGGAGGATTTACTTCTAGAGAAGTATGATTGCTTGCATTTATTGAGTCATCCTTATTAGATATGTTACTTGTTTTTTGAAGTTTTGCTTCCAGAGAATTCTTCATTCCCGCGTCAGAAGCATTTAACGAAGATAAATTAAATAATAAATTTGACGTGGTAATTTCATTTCTTTTGAAATTCGTTTCCGGCATTAAAAATGGTGTACTCCTCTTCTCTTTCTTGAGACCAACATAATGATCTAGATTATCAGTAGTTGCAGATATTAAGTCTGCGTTTTGATTAGATCCTGAAGGATAAGATGCAGCGTCAGAAGGAAGCAAATTATCAGTAGAAGTACTAGGTGTACAATATTGGCTTAAAATATTCCCATGTTTTATCATATCTCGTAAAAATTGATTTCGAAATGATTCTGCATATATGTTTCTTAATTTTCGTTTCACTTTCATTAGTGGATCTGTTGAAAATAAAAAATTAATACTTGAAAGTATAAGAAAAAAAAAAATAACGAAGTTTTAAAAATGATAATAAATACCAGGTCCAAAACAGTCTGGAAAATTTTTTCCTTCGTAATTTTCTGAAGAAACAACCTTACATAGTTCTTCGTATTTACTTAACGCAAAGTTTTGTTCGGAATCATCTATTCTCTTTTCTTCTATTGATTTGTGAGGTATTCCGATATCTTCTTCCTTTTGAGTCCTTTTTCTTCTACAAAAAAAAATTTACATTAATTTTTAAGTTTTCTTTGAAAGTAATTTTTGACTTCTTTCTTAGATTTACATTTACAAATACTATATATGTGTAATAAGTACATATAAAAGGACACAAAGAAACACAAAAAGACAACAAAAATTACCTGAGACTTACCCATCCACTTTACCCAAAATAGGACTTGCATCAGCATGAGTTGCCTTGAGAATATTTTCGACAGTAAAATCGTTAAACTTTTTCTTTGTGTTATCATTTTTAGTTGTAGCATCTCTGTCAATTAAAAATATATTAAAAATATATTTTTTAGGATAAGAATAATTTTTTATAATTTTCCTACTTACTCTCTCGAATGATAACCATCTAGTAGTTTCAGTACATTTCCTTGTAGTCGCGCGTTATTTAGATCATTCAATGCTACTTTGGTATGTGCTGCAAATAATTATATTACTCAAATATATTATTTTTATGGCAAAAAAACATAATTATACTTTGTGGTATATGTACCTCTTCGTATTTCTTTCCCCACTGCACCGTTTCTATATATCCCGACTAACTAAAATAAAAAAAAATTATAATTTTTATTATAATTTTAATTAATTGATTTTAATTAATTTTTATTGTAATTTTACAATTTTTATAATAATAATAATAATAATAATAATAATAATAATAGCAATTGTAATTTATAATATTTACAGGTTGCGGAAGAATTCTATTGGACAGCTTTTTTGAATTTTGCGCCTCGCCCAATTTCCCATTGATTTTCGTTTGTTTGTCCTGCAACAGATTTTCTTCAAAGAATGGATGCAAAGGTGAAAGAATAAAGATAAATTTATTTTAAAATATACATATTCTTCCCGTATGTCTGCAAAATGTTGCAAAAGTTTAATGAAACTACACTGCCATATTTTGCATGTTATCTGGTTCTGCTGAAAAATTATGCATGCATTATCACAATTTCAGAAATTCTTAATCCCAAAAATCATTCCTAATAAAGTATTTCAATTAAAAAATTATGTCTGTTAAACGTATAATTGTATACATATACTTGAAAATTGATACTTATTAAACATTATATTACAAAATTAATATTTGTTGAAATAATTATTATAATAAGATAAAACGTATTATATTGTGCGGGACGTATATTTTCATTATATTTTCATTATATTTGTAATATAATGAAATTAGGAAATAGACAATTTATTCAATTTATAGATTATATATAATTTCATGAGATGCGCATTTAATTGTTTATATATGTGTTCATTTTATTTTTTCTATAAAATCTATGAAACTCTCTTGACAAATTGTCAAATATTTATAACAAAAGTAGTACAGAGATATTGAAATAACATATAAGACTTTCAATGATACATGTCAATCATCTAACATAACCAAAATTGTCAGACAATTTGAAATATATCTTTATCATATACAATACAATATTACATATACTTCTACATTTGATCTAAAGAAATAAAATATTGAAGGAAGGATATACAATCTCCACGAACAGAAAGTAATAATGATCAGCATGGACATGTATATTCATACCTTCTTCGATTTGAATATTTTTTGATCTCTCAGGTTCCTTTTACGTTTTTTCTTCTTTGTTCGTATTTTCTGTTTTTCATGAATGATTTTTATTCCTTCGTCGACTGACGTGTCACTGGTCACGATGTTACATGTTAGTTTGCCCATTTTACAACACAAAAAGAATCGCCTTTCGAACGAGATCGACGAATGTCTCAATGTTTGTTTACATTTCGTTACCCCACTTCTTATGCTATCCCAAGTATCGTATACAATGACAATATCGACGTACTTTGTCTTGTTCCGATGATAATGCTACTCTACGATTGACTGAACGACGTAGAATGTTATCGATCAAGAAATATTTCTGAATATTAATTGAATATTGGATTAATGTGACTAGAAAAACGTAATAGATATATCGTTATATGAGAATTTGTATTGTATATTTTAATATATATATATATATATATATATATATATATATATATATATATA